GATTAGAAGTATATTAAATAAACACCGACAAAACACAGGACCACACACCCAACATCTGTCCGCTCACCTGAAAAATAAATGGATAAATACATGGAGGGCATATATAAAAATATACACATACCCATACAGAAGATCCGCCCACCCACCCCCCAGATCAGACCATAGGGGAGAACTGGGAGAGTCCCCCCAGCGACCACAAGCACAGCCCCCAGGGCCAGCAGCGACAAACTCATGGGCCCCACCGGCACCCGCCATACCAAAGCAGATCCAGGAAAGGGCACAGAAGTCCGGGCCCCCAGGGAGCACCCCCCTCCAGGCCAAAGCCCGACATGGCCAGAGGCCCCGAGCCCCAGCAGGCAGTCACCAGGCCAGGCCGGCACACACCCCAGCCCCAGACCCCGGGAACCTCAAGCACGCCAGCGGCCAGCTGCACACCCCACCAGGGGTCCGAGTAGCAGCGGGCCCCCAGATAAACCAGCAGGATGGGGAGCCCAGACCGCAGCCTGACAAATACCCAAACATACACAATCGCACCATCCCACCCTCATCCTCACCCCCACTCAGTCAAAGACAAAAAAAAATTCTTAGGTTTCTATTGACACCAAACATGTCCAGCTGACAGATGTGAAGTTAGAAGTTAACAGAAAAAGAAAAGGGAAAAAGCTGTTTTTCATGTGTAAACCTACAAACCTCCTGGTCCACAGACGGGTTCTGACTCACCAAAGGTGTGGTTGATGACCTCAAACAGAGCGAAGTAGCTGGCTGTTACACTGTCCATCCCCAGCTTCAGAACCACAGCCTGGAGGAGAAAAGAGAAGAAACGTCTGGATTTATAAAAAAGAAAACAAAAAGTAAGACATGACTGAGCACAGTTAGTGCACGTATGTGTTTACCTGATAAACCTGGTCTGTAGTGGAGTTTTTGCGAACTCTAACCGTGAGCGTTGTTTTATCAGGCATGGCTATTCTCAGCTCTACATCTGACACGCCGTTATAGTTCTTGGTCATGTGAAGAGAGAGACACAAACTGTGAGCTGAGTCACAGGATGAGCCGAGAAAACAAGACAGTTGTGTTTTTACCTCATCTGATTCAGACAGGAACTCCTGCATGATGTCACTTTCTCCGATTACCCGTACCGAGCACACTGTGAGAACAAAAACACACAAGTTAAATTTAAGAGCATGAAAATAAGATGTTTAAATAGAGTTTAAAAAACTGTATTTTAGAACTGTAAGATGAGTCTAAGGGTATTACCAACCTTAATTATCGTCACGGTTCACTTAGAATCACGTTATCTCAATTTTAAAACACAAGTAAAAGAATAGAAATGTGCCTCAAACACATGAAACCTCTTTTTCTTGACCTTTTTCCAGGTATTCCTCCAAGCCTCGGCGCCGTGCGTCCAGCTGCTGCTCCGACAGTGAAAACGGCCACTTCCCAGGCAGTTTGGGGAACGAAAAATTGGGGAATTCTCTCTTGAGGTTTTGGTGCAGAATCACAAACTCGCGGTAACGCTTTGAGCACAGCTGCCTGCCTGCCATGTATACATTGTAAACCTGGAAACAATCACAAATGTGAAAAGGATTAGTGAAAACACACACACACACACACACACACACACACACACAATTATGTTTCACACTGCGTTGCATTTATTTACATCGTGTGTGAAGCAAAGGCCTGTCGATACATTGTATCTGGCCAGTGAGTGCTTGTTTCTGTGCAGGAAAAACCACGTAGAGCTCAGTTATTGTTTGTCAGCGGTGCTCAGCCGGTGCGATGACACGAGGAACGTGATGCTTCACGTTTTTAGGCAAAGTTGAACACAAAAAGTTGAAGTTAATAGATCTTTTGCACATTCCAAAGCAGGCATGAAACGTACGTTTTGATTGGACGGCGAAACGCCACGTACCTGCAGAAATCGGATGTAGGGTGGGGGAATGGAAATTGAAAGAGCAAGGTGATGATGGCGAGTTGTAATGTCCGTGCGTGGTTTCAGAAAATTGTCAACAACCAATGGGCAAAATCCCTGAAAAGTGTGCCGCAGATCTGAGAGGATGTCATTGAGAAACAACTGTCGAGGGGAGTTCACCGTGTCAAAGAAGACAATCGGCGAAACAAGGACCTTTAAGTTGATGAGAGCTATCACGTTTACTGGTGTTTATTGTTTAGTCATCACATTTACTGGTGTTTATTGTTTAGTCATCACGTTTACTGGTGTTTATTGTTTAGTCATCACGTTTACTGGTGTTTATTGTTTAGCTATCACGTTTACTGGTGTTTATTGTTTAGCTATCACGTTTACTGGTGTTTATTGTTTAGCTATCACGTTTACTGGT